AAACAAATAAGAAAATTAATTAATAACATTAAATTATTAAATATGCTCATGAATGTTATTGTGATGCAAAGATATATTAGAAGAAATATACTTTTCAAAAGGATACATCCAACGAAATTGGATAAGTCCTTCAACTTTTGTCTCATATGGTAGATAGATAGCCAAATGCTCCATCGAGTCAAAGAATGCTGGCGAGAATACTTTCTCTAACTTGCAAATGGTCTCAACAATTTTTTCCTCCCACATCTCCATGTTACTGACTTGAATAATTGGAGCAATTAAAGCTCTAAAAAAGTTACTCATCTCAATTAAGGGATCCCAAACTTCTTCTATGAGGAAATCATGGAAAGCAATTGGCAAGAGACGTTGCATGAATACATGACAATCATGACTTTTCATCCCAAACAATCGAAGTTCCTGCATGTAAACACATCGTGCTATATTGAATGCATATCCATCTGGGAATCTCAATTCCTTCAGCCACTGACAGATAAGAGCTCGTTGCTCTCGAGTAAGAACATATGAAGCATTGGGTTTTATAGTTGTTCCATCATCTTGAGGTATCAATTCTAATTCAGATATATTGCAATACAGTTATAAATCCAATCTAGCATTAGTGTTATCCTTCGTACAATCCTTGTCATCCATGACAGTATTTTTAATGTTATCTAAAAAATTCTTCTCACAATGCATGACATCAAGGTTAAGACGAATCAATAAATCCTTCCAGTATGGCAATTCTCAAAATATACTACATTTTCACCCAATTATGAAAAACACCAAATCTTGCAATTGAATGTCAGGGAGCTGATTAACCCTTTCTTCCATCAAAGTACCATCTAGTTTGGGAGGGGGGACGGCTTTTTTCAACTCTATTGAGATAAAAATTTTTCTTATCTCTACGAAATGGATGTTTAAGAGGTAAAAATTAACAATGACAATCAAAAAATGATGTTTTCCTCCCATATTGAAGTTGAAAAGCCTTAGTGTTCTCCATGCAATAAGGGCATGACAACTTCCCATGTGTGCTCCATCCAGATAACATGCCATAACCTCGAAAATCACTTATAGTCCATAGCAAAGCAGCTTTCATGATAAAATTCTGTTGTCTAAAACTATCATAAGTTTCAACCCCATTTGTCCACAATTCCTTAAGTTCATCAATTAATGGCCTAAACATGACATCAATGTTTTTTCTTGGACTTTTAGGTCCAGCAATTATCATGGCAAGAAATATATGTTCTAATATCATACACAATTCAGGAGGAAGGTTGTACACTGTAAGAAAAACAAGACAACAAGAGTAAGGCATTGCAGAGCAACCAAATGGATTGAAACCATCTGTACAGAGGCCAAGGCTAACATTTCTAGGTTCATCAGCAAATGTTGGGTGGGTTTCATCAAAGTGTTTCCATACCTCACTACCCACAGGATGAATAACTTCATCCGCATCCTCATGGCATTTCAAATGCCATGTCATATGCTTTGCTGTTTTTCTAGACATGTATAGTCGCTGCAATCTTGGGGTAATTGGAAGCTGCAATCTTGGGGTAATTGGAAGGTACCACAAAGATTTCCTTGGAACATCTTTCTACCTTATAAGCAGACATATTCCTTGGCTCATAACGAGATTCTCCACACACTGGACAAGCAGTTAAATTCTTACTTTGCTCATCATAATACAAGAAGCAATCATTGACACAAATATCAATTTTCTTGTACCCAAGTCCAAGCACATTTATCATTTTTTTTGCACTATAGAAATCCTTTGGCACCTTTTCTTGGTCCTCTAGACTCAACAACTTTTGACTCAATGATAATGCCATTTCCCAATTAGCAGCACTCATATTATAAAGAGTTTTCATGTTTAGTATTTCTGCCATCCATAAAAGTATTGTAACATCCTGTCCCTCAGCACTTATATGAACTTCTGCAACATGCAAGAGATCATAAAATTCTCTTGCCTTACTATTTGGCTCCTCAGCCATTGGCCCGTCATTGTATTCAGACTGTGCACCCATTGCATCAACTACCATTTCATGGTATAATGCATCTACCTCATTTCTAACAAACTCCATATTAGAAGATTCCCCTTCAAAGTTTCTTA